ACTGCTGCCTAACGCTCATTTCTAACTGGCTGCAATCCTGTTCTCCCTGTTTTACTGAATCAGCTCCATGCACAGGCCATGTTTTCCAGCCGTTTCATTTCCCTTTCCCAGCAGTTCTTTCAGGTGCCCACCCACATTCACATAAACATCACCCCGGCACTGTTTCACACCTACTCTACTTTGTACAATTCTCCTGGCTCACCCCCCCCCCAACTTGTCCCTTCCCACTTGAGTGATAGGTTCCCCGATAAAGAGATTTAATCCAAATCCTGTCCAAAGAGTGCGTCAACATTCTTAAATCTTTTTCTTACATGCTTCATAAGCCTCTTGCCCACAAGGGGACTAGATGTCCCTTTTCTCCCAGGAAGTCCTGCCCGATGCCCCTTTCACTCTCAAAAGTGCCCCAAGTTGGGTAATAATGTATATGGTTCCCCTGACTCTAACTCCTGTCCTTCTATCACTTCATCCCTGGCCTTCCTTTAAATGAGGCAACCCCCTCTCTAATTTCTCGGCAGGAATCACGAGCAAGAACACACCGTTCTGCTTCATACAAGACAGCTCGCGTGACGAGCTCAGTGGGCTTGCTAAATGCAGTGCATTTATCTCATTCGTCAATATCATAATCTAAATTATCTCTTTTACATTGAATAAGGAGCAGAGAGTGAATAAATAAAGGCATAGGTGATGGTCAATATCCTTTCTAGGCCTCAACTGTTAAGGGTTTATGTGAAAATTCATAAATACTGGGCTCAGTCCAGGATAAGCAAAAATTTTTCCTCTTTAGAAGTTTCTGGTTACCAAAGTTCCAGAGATCGCTTTTTCATTCCCTATCCTTTCATTTTCTCAAGTTCTCCATTATGTAACGGGGAGTTGGGGCTTTACACCGAATCTCCCATTAAAGATGATTTTTATAGTCAATAAGCAAAGTCAGGGAGCGATGGCACCCGGAGGCGGTATCAACTGATGCAAGTGTTTAAGCGAATCTCAACTCGTTTTTCCGGTGACTCATTCCTGGCCCTGCTGGGAAGCGCAGCACCTTTTAATGTAAAGCCCGGCGGCCGGCTGCACCGCTGCACCGGAGGTCTCGCCCTAATCGGTGCCCGCGCCGACCTTCGCCTGCGAGCAGCGCCGCCGCCTCCCT